GACAGTGCTGCAGGGGGAGCTGATGTTGACGGCAGACAAACGTCTTGGGGGCATTTCCAGCCTTTTGGCAAAAATTTACAGCAACAAGGGACTCTTTTCAGGAGCTGTTTATTAGGTGGGCTGTGCTTCTAGGAAAGATCCAGGAAAAAAAGATCTTGGCTGATGTCAAGCACCACCAGCAGACAGCAGCCTGGCTTCCAATTTCATCCTTTGTTAAAATGCAGACCCATGGGTGGATTCTGACGTCAGGGCTAAACCCCAGAAAGCAGTGCTACTGGAGCTGCCTGTAAATGGGCTGCTCCCACCCCCCAGGGACACTTCCTGTCACAGACCCATCACTATTCACTGTAGCCCCCTTTGATGAGGAGGAAACAGCTGGCCAGAGATATAAAAATCCTTTGTTATCAGAAAGTCTAGAGTGTCTCTCCAGGCCAGAGTAGCACCATTAGGTGACGTCAATGGCTCAGGACATCCGAGCCCCACGGCTTCACCCTTCTCAGAACAGCAGCTAATTTATGGCAGTAAAGATATTTCTATTTCGAGCCTCAGAAAAGAGGAGGCAGCACCTCTTCTTCTGCATCCCTAAGTCCTGTGCGAAGGGCTTGGCTCCACCCCGTGAGGCAGGAAGAGCTTACAGGTGGCCAGAAGCCAGGAGCAGGCCGTTCACGCCCACCCCAGCTCACCGACAGCTTGGGGACCGGCTAAGTGCCAGGCAGCACAGGCACACACAGACAAGCACAGCCCAAGGCCCCTGCTGGAGAGGAGCGGCCGGGAGGCACAGCGGGGCACCATAAGGGTGGGCATGATGCGCAGCAAAGAAGGCACTTCAGGGACTTGAGGAGGGAGCTGGGACTTGATGTCATTTGGGCTGGACCACGGGCGGCTGGCAGAATCCGGGGACCTGGAGCTGCAGGGAGAATGACAGCAGGAGACAGGGTCCCATTCACTAAAGGAGAAAGTGGCAAAGCAGGAGGAGCAAGGCCTGGCTAGTGGCGGAGGCTGCGCCTGGTTTTGGATGTGGGCTGCCTTGACTCATTTCTGAAAAGGCGTGAACGAGCCCCAGCGGGCCTGTGTCCTGCGCTGCGGTCTCACAGCCCGTATGTGGGCTTGCACCGCCTGGGTTCACTAGTGTGCCTCTAAAAGCCACCAGGATGTCCCACGGTTCTCCCTGCACCCACTTCACCTCTCACGTAGACCTCATCCTTCCGCCTGCAGGTCTAAACTTGGCGGCTGAATTTTTTTTTTTAACCTATGAAAGTCAGTTCCCCTCCTTCCTAGGAGGTCTCCGAGGACTTGCTTCTCTGCATGGACTTCTGGTATTAACACATAACTGACTGGAGGTGTAGTAACCCCACAGGTATCAGTTTCTGCAAAAATCCCCCAGTCAATAATGAAAACCGCTTGATTCCAGATGAAACCATGCTGATGGAGGCATTTTTCTGTCGAACTAAATCTTACAAAAAAGTACACGGTTGCTTTTGTTATTCTGGAATGCTTTTCTAACATTCTTAAGAAAGAAGAACAAAGCTGGAGGTGTCACACTTCGTTATTCCAAACTATGCTACAAAGTCATAGTAGTCAAGACAGTATGGTACTGGCATAAAAACAGACACACACATCAACGCACCTATTGATGGAGATCAACAGAGAGTCCAGATATAACCCTCATATATACGGTCAATTAATTTATGGCAAAGAAGCCAAGAATATACAAAGAGGAAAGAATAGTCTCTTAAGTAAATGGTGTTGGAAATTAAATAGCCACGTGGGGAAGAATGAAACTGAGCCATTATCTTTCCATACACAAAAACCTACTCGAAATTGATTATAGTCTTGAACAAAAGACCCGAAATCATGGAACTCCTAGAAGAAACCATAGGAGATAAGCTCCTTGACTTTGGTCCTGGCAGTGATGTTTTGACACCAAAAGCAAGGGCAAAAAAAGACCCCCAAAATAAATAATTGGGACTGCACAAAGTCATCAACAAAATGAAAAGATATCATATCAAATGGGAGAGAGTATTTGTAAATCACATCGTTGATAAGGGAATTAGCATCTAAAAAATATGCAACTCAATAGCAATAGCAAACAATCCAATTAAAAAAGTGCATGGAGGATTCAAATAGACATTTTTCTAAAGAAGACTTCCAGGTACACAAATAGGTTTTCAACCTCACTAATTATCAGGGAAATACAAATCAAAACCGTATGAGATATAAACTCACACTCACTAAAATGGCTACTACCAAAAAGTAAATAAAATACAAATAACAGGAGTTGTCCAGGACGTAGAGAAAAGGGAACCCTTGTGCACTGCTGCTGGGAATGTAAACTGGTGCACTATGGGAAACAGCTGAGAAGTTCTTAAAAAAATTAAAAACCTAGATGCCCATCAGCAGACGAATGGATGAGGAAGCTGTGGTACATACACACCACGGAATATTACTCAGCCATTAAAAAGAATTCATTTGAATCAGTTCTAATGAGATGGATGACACTGGAGCCCATTATACAGAGCGAAGTAAGCCAGAAAGATAAAGACCATTACAGTATATTAACACATATATATGGAATTTAGAAAGATGGTAACGATAACCCTATATGCAAAACAGAAAAAGAGACTCAGATGTATAGAACAGACTTGTGGACTCTGGGAGAAGGCGAGGGTGGGATGTTTCAAGAGAACAGCATCGAAACATGTATATTATCTAGGGTGAAACAGATCACCAGCCCAGGTCGGGTGCATGAGACAAGTGCTCGGGCCTGGTGCACTGGGAAGACCCAGAGGGATCGGGTGGAGAGGGAGGTGGGAGGGGGGACCGGGACTGGGAATACATGTAAATCCATAGCTAATTCATTTCAATGTATGACAAAAACCACTGCAATGATGTAAAGTAATTAGCCTCCAACTAATAAAAATAAACGGAAAAAAAAATTAAAAATGGGACTACCATATGATCCAGAAATTCCATCCCTGGGTATTTATCCAAAGGCAATAAAATCACTAGCTCTAAAAGATTTATATACCCCATGTTTACTGCAGCATTATTTACAATAGCTGAGACACGGAAACAACCCACGTGTCCGTGGATGGCTGAATGGATAAAGAAAATGTGGTTTCTATACATACAATGAAATACTATTTAGCCATAGGAAAGAAGGAAATCTTGCCATTTGAAACAACATGGATAGACCTTGAGGGCACCATGGTAAGTGAAGTAAGTCAGGTGGAGAAAGACAGACACAACATTTCAACGTTTATATGCAGAGTCTAAAACAAAAACTCAAACTCATACAGACAATAGTTTGGTAGTTGCCAGAGGTGGGGGTGGGGTGGGTGAAAGGGATGCAGGAGGTCAAAAACCACAAGCTTCCAGTTATAACAAGTAAGTCCTGAGGATGTAGTGTATAACGTGGATTACGGTTAGTAATGCCATGTTGCATATTTGAAATTTGCTAAGAGTTGGTATTAAACATTCTCATTAAAAGAAAAAAACTTGTAATTATGTATGGTGATAGATGTTAACCACACTTACTGTGGTGATCACTTCACAATATATACAAATACTGAATCGTTAGTTTCTAAAGAAGCATGGGCATGGATACCTTCCAAGGGTTTACATATCAGCTGGAAGCTCACTGTACACCTGTGTCCTCGGAAGCCACCTTCTCACTGGGAGGAGCTCAGGAATCTTCAGTCTGCAGTTCCTAGTCTACCTCCTTGCCCGGCTGGGCTTCCTCCTGATCCCAGTCACCTCCCAAGTCTCCAACACGTTACCCAAAAAGGCATTATGCCCTGAAGCCCTTCATATCCTTCACAGACACTGTCCCTTCATTTAGAATCTTCATCTAAGTCAAAGGCCATGTTTGAAAGGTTTTCAAAAATAGATCTCTCTCTCTCTCTCTCTCTCTCTCTCTCTCTCTCTCTCTCACACACACACAGTGGAATACTATTCAGCCATAAAAAAAGAATGAAATCTTGCCATTTGCAACAACATGGATGGACTTTGAGGGTATTATGTGAAGTGAAATAAGGCAGAGAAAGACTATGATATCACTTATATATGGGATATAAAAAATAAAATGAACGAACAAAAAAGAAAGACTCAGGTATAGAGAACTAGTGATTACCAGTGGGACAAAGGAAGGGAGGAGAGCAAAATTGGGCAGGGGATTAAGAGGTATAAACTACTATGCATCAAATAAATAAGCTACGTGGATATATAGAACAACACAGGGATTATAGGCAATATTTTATAATGATAAATGGACTATAACCTTTAAAAAATTGTGAATCACTATGTTGTACTGAAACTTACATAATATTGCACATCAAGTATATCTAAATAAATAGATTTTTATTAAAAATTAGACCATCGGTAATGAAGTTTGTTGAATAGTTTTTAATCAACAAACTTTAAAGCATAAAGTGAAAATACACACAGGCCAGTACTAAAGTACAAATCAAAAACAAAAAAATGCCAACACCATTGCTGTTTTCTATGATAAAAGTACCTAAGTAAAGTTCCTAAATACAGCAACTTATTAAAATTCTGTTACTTCAGAAAACACTCAAATACATTGTTCTGCATGACATAGTGGTTAAAGAAAATCGCAGTGCTAACTGGAAATGATTTCTGTTTTTGACATGAATCTATAGGGGTGAAATGCTCAAATAAATATATACTTTTCACGTAAGAAAGTAGAAAATTAGAACAGGTTTTATTTGGAAGAAAAAAAAATTATGATCTCATTAAATATATTGGTCCTGCGCTGTTCAGTCACAAGCTAAACCATAACCTATGTAGCATTACTAATAAAGTGCATAGGCTTGCTGGAGGATCTTTTCTTTTCCTGTTTGTCTAAGGGCCTAATCTTGCCCTAAAGCCTCTGCGCTGTCAACTACTGTAGATGCGGAGAGAGACAGAGGGCGGGGGTGAGAGGGTAACGGACGCGTGGTCGCGCCGACAAAGCAAATGAAGCAAGCCGCGCACCTTACCTGCTTACTTTTATCACTGGTGCAACACAGCTTCTTCAGGGAGACAAAATGCCTGATTTTCCTAATAGCATAAATAATCCGTGATTAGCGAGTCAGATATGAGACAACAAGTCAGCAAACGAAAACATCAACAGAATCTTCTTCAAGTAAAACTCCAGGGTCCATTCTGGGGCAGGTTTTAAATTCCAATAAAACACAATCTATAAAAGATGCATTTTTTTTTTTACACACAGTCTACACCTGCCTTCAAAAACTGGGCTCTCCTTTTAATCACAGCTGGCTCAGAAACACTCTCTTAATGGATACTTCGTTTCTAACTGACTCCTGAAGGCCGGCTCCTAGACAGCCTCGGTGACAGGATGAAATGCTACTCCAAACAAAATGGGCTTTAATTCTGCAGACATGAACACTTTTATAGCTTATATAGAAGGCCAAGACTCATTTGGACATTGAGCAAAGTCCCTGGTTGCTATTTTTAATATTCCACATTCTTTCATAGCCTGGTCATCATACGTGATGGCATTTTTCAGGGCAGAGAAAAGTCCTCTTATTTTAAGGTCATGGACAGAATCCCAAGACTGCCCGTGGTCTTGGTCATCACCACAAGGAGATGGAAAAGACAACAGGTGCCTCAGTCCTACACGGAGATCAGCGGACTTCTCTCCAGAGTGGAGAATTTCGCAGGCCACGTTAGGGTTCACAGTAATGCCCCTCTTCTCTGTGGCTCTGCTTCTGTCTCTCTTGGGTTCAGTTTTCTCTGAGGACTCTGAAGACAGAATCGAACATGCTGGTTATTCTGTGTTGAGCTTCACTAAATAGGAAGAGGTACGATGTCCCTACCCTTAATAAGACTTTCTTCTGATAGTTCACTGGGGGGAAATATTGGGGGGGGGGGGGAAATAACACTGCCTCTGGACAACAGAACTTCTTGCTCTTACCCATAAAATCAGAAAGATCAGGAAAACTCATCCTGACAGAAATCACCACAGAGTAACATGGTCTCCTCTGCTTTGTAAGCTAATAATTCTGGTCACACACATCACACAAGTGCATCTCAGGTTGAAAACACATTCCCGGATGAAGTCGGAAGCAACAGTGTGACGGCCAGCAAGGCCCTGAGTTCTGACAGCTGCTGCACATGGCCCCGCAGAGGCTGCGTGCTCGGTGGGCTGAAGGGGCCCTGGGGGCCTTTCTCTGCACGCTCACGGCCCCTGTCAGGGCAGGCCAGTGCCCCACCGCCTGGAGTGAAGCAGGGGGGCAGGAAACCTGGGGCGGTGGTCTCTGAACTGAGCAGGGAACAGTTTCAAAACTAACCAGTAAGTAAGATCGGAGGGGAAGCAACCTGCAGACACTGTTCTGGCTACAGAATGTCTTCCAACCTTCCCCAGGGGCTCAAGAATCTGCCCGCAGTGCAGTGCAGGAACCTGGGTTCGATCCCCGGGTCAGGAGGATCCCCTGGAGGAGGAAATGGCAACCCTCTCCAGCATTCTTGTCTAGAGAGTTCCTCGGACAGAGGAGCCTGGCCGGCCACGGTCCATGTGGTCGCAGAGTCGGACACGACTGAGTGACTAACACACACAGTAAATCAGGACAGGACTCTCCTTTCTGGTTATCCACACCGTAACTGCTCTTTTTCCAAAGTGCCACCCAACGGCGTGTGGGCCTTATACACCTCTACTGTGAGGCTGGCTGGTTGACTGCAGGCGCCTTTACAGAGGCTCCGTGGCGGGGTACTGTTAGGGGGTCCTGCTTGGCTCCACAAACCTCACACAACAACTGGGAGAAGGAAAAGGAATTGCACATTTTCTTTGTTTCTCTGCAAATGAATAGGCCCCTCTGGTAAGCCGAGGTTACACGGAATCAGCTGCCTCAGCTTCTGGTCAGACACCTTTCTCTCCTAAGCATGACCCTCGTGCTCTCCCCTCGTGAGCGAGCCCCGAGGCCTGGCGAGATCATCACAGAGCCGGAAGCCCAAGGAGAGGAGCTCGGCTCCCAAGAGCCCGAAGCTCTGCAGTTGCAGTGGTGACAGGGAAGGTCTACAAACTGGCTCCTTGGGGCGTGGGGACAACCACAGACAAGCAGGTGGAGGTGGACAGTTGGGCTGCGGCTCCCTAAGGTCCACAAGCAGGAGAAGAGGGGATGATTTGTTCAGTGGCTGCGCAGAGGTGGCCTTGGCACGCATTATATACACACCCAATCCTATTGTATTGGTGGGTTCAACCCACTGGCATTTCCCATTTACAGACCCAAGGCGCGCGGGCCCCCAAACAGCAGAGGTTAAGAGCCAGTGCTCACCCTCCTTGGCCGATCACCGGCGTGATCTTCACATGCTGCTGGATGCTGTCGCCGGATTTCCGTCTGGCGTAGTAGACCCCCTGCCACTCCTACACGGACAAAGAGAGGCCTCAAGATCCTTCCGTCCGGGTCCGCGGCGGCTCCTACAGAGGGTCTCATCACGTTCAGCAGTGAGGTCCCCACATGCTGTTCCTACACCTCACAGAACACTGCCCTCTAGCTGTGCCCACTGTGGCGCTGAGCAAGGCTCAGTCACGGGGCCCAGCCACAGCCAGGCTGCCCGTCCCAGGCTCTGGGCTCTCAGCCCCACGGGTGTGGTGCCACCAGGCCGAGGAATCCTTTAAGGTCTCTCTTGAGATCTTTATGACAACCTGCGAGCCTGGTTCTCATCCCCCTTCAGGTGCAGATCTGTCCACTGAGGCTCAGCGATGCCAACTAATTTGCCCACATGAGGAAGTAGAAAATGTGGTTATAAATCTATCTCAACTCCCCTTCTACTATCCTCTGGGGCCTCCAGTCAAGCCTTCTCTGGGCTCAGTCTGGCTGCCGGTAGGTTCCATGGATGAGGCAAAGGGGAGTGTGAGGTTCCTCCTGCATCCAGACCCTGGGGAACCCGGCAGGGCGAAGAGCCTGGTGGCCTCCATGGGGAGCCTGAGGCACCTCCACTGCTTCTGGGAGGAAGTGGCTGGATCAGGACGTGAGATGATCTTCTCACCCAAATACTCACACGGGAGGGCCAACTGGTACACGGGCTGGGGTCACCAGGTGTGTGGCAGCACTCTCCCAGCAAAGATTTTTTGGAGGACCTGTCCTGCTTCCTTTTTGGTCTCCCTCCCCTAATATTCTTCTATTAATACAAACTTACTACATTCCCATACAATGGTCCCACAATGAAGAAATGCAAAGCTATCGACCTCCTTCACATCAGAGAAAGCATCTGAATGCTTCCAAGAAAATGCCCAGGCAGTTCCTGCTCCAAGGGCAGCGGTCTGGAAGGAAGGGCTTGTGGGAGATGCCCACTGCATCCACACCACTGCCTTCATCTGCTGGGATGCAGAGAAGGCTGCCGGACAGACTGCCGAGGCAGGGATGAGGGAGGTGTATGTCTCTACTCAACCGTGATGGGTAAAGAGACTAGAAAAAAAAAAAAAACGACTGAAAAGTGGGCCTATGAAACATGTAAATACTGATACTAAATCCTTGTCCTTCAAACTCTGGATAAACTAAACCCTGGGAGGAACTCTGCTCGGAGACAGGTATGAATTTCCAGCCATCACAGGTGAGATATAATCACATGGAGGAAGAAATTTCCTTGTAGAAAATCTTCAGGTTCTACATCATCGTGATAAGCACCAGATTTGCCTGCTATCCAAAATTAACTCAGATTTGAACTCATCTTACAAACATAAGAGATTTTTCACTTAACTGTAATATTATTAAAGAAGCCCATGTGAAAGAGGTGACATAGTGTATTAGTTGGGCGGGGTCTGTGGATGGGTTTGGTTTCACCCACCTTGCCCTTCTTGATGCAGGTGTTGATGGTGTCGAGAAGGTCCGCCCGGTTCTTGTCACTTTTGGGCAGCTCGGCAAGTTCTTTCCCCAGCAGTTCACCTTTGTGGTAGCCCATCATCCTTTCGAAGGCTGGGTTGACATACTGTGAATGGGAAGTGGGTATGGGTCAGGACAGGATGCCGTGTGCCTGCAGAACACTTGTCAGGGCACAGAAAACGTGCCCTGGGCCAGCGTTCTCTGATATGGGTCCAGACAAGTCCCCTAGCCCCAGTGAGTGGGCTCCCTCCTGACCAGCAATGCGCTCATTCAACTGCCATCCCAGCACCCCGGGCCCTCTGGAAACTGGAAGAAATTCTTCAGCATTAAAAATAGCAAGAAACCTTTATCTACTAGTGCCCCCTTCCAATGGGCCTTATTCATCACCCAGTGCCCATGAAAAAAGAAAAAACTCAGGAAAAAAAAGAACACATACAAATTAACTAGAGGGATGTCCCTGTTGACCCAGTGGTTAAGACTTCACCTTCCAATGCAGGGGATCCCTGGTTTGGGAGCTAAGACCCCACATGCCTTGCAGCCAAAAAACCAAAACATAAAACAGAAGTAATATTGTGACAAATCCAATAAACACTTGAAAATGGTCCACATCAGAAAAAAGTCTTTAAAAAAATTAACTAGAATTCCACTCAACAGGTCGTGGCTTCTATTAATCACATTTCTACAAGGAAGCAATTTGATCTCTCATGTCTAGATAATATTACTAGATAATTGCCACTGTCTATTAACCAATGCTATGCCTTGGGGCCACTTCTGGTCTAACTGAAGCATAAATTCAGTTAAAAACCTTGGGCAGGAGGTAGTCCTTTCACAGCTGGGCACAGTGCAGGGTTTAGGCATTGTCCCCACTGAGCACATGCAGGGATGGGCAGATTCAGAAGCTTCTTTCCAAAATTCTGTCCAGGGCCCTGGAATTTAGAGCTATACCTTGGCTGCCTCCCAGCTCCTGTCCACAGCCTCCCATTTCGTCTCAAAGAACAGAATCACCAGATGAGCAGCTGAGCAGAGGGTAAAGCAACAGGACCGTGGGGAGAATGTGAGCACACTGCCTCTAGGTCATGGATTTCTCTGGGAGTAACTGACATCCACCTGCTGCTTCAGAAATGGTCTTGCACATGGCATCACTTTTGCCCTCCACAGGGATGACAGCAGCAGGGAACACGGTGATGCAGGCACACGTGGGGAGCCACTCCCTGGGGAAGCTGGCTTCTACTAGCACCGTCCGCCCTGGGAGGAGGAAGGGCTGGGGGGCGGCTCTCGGGCCTTTCAGGGGTCACTGAAGAGGAAGGGGCGGTGACACTGTCTTCACTGACCTTCTATCACTTGCACGTGGCGGTGGCCGGCCTCCCTGGGCGGGCAGCAGGACCCCTGCTCATCAGGTCGGGCTCACAGTCCCCCGGCCCAGCCCTGCCTGCAGCTAGGAGGCCTGGGCTGGTCTTCCAACCTGCAGGACTCTGCCCACCTGCTCTCTGCCTAGAGGCCCTGCCCCGCCTCCTGGTCATGTCAACTCCGATTTCCACCCCCCTCCAGCAAGCTGTCCTTACGGCCCTACACAGTTGGAGCCTGTGCCTCTCCGACGCCTCCCACTCTCTCCTGTGCAGGCTTCTGATGCCCTGTTACACTGAGTCTAAATTCTTTTCTTTCTCTCTCCCCAACTAGACATGAAAATCCTCAAGGGCAAAGGTAACTTCAGATTTGTCTTTGGATATTCAGGACTGTTCAGTAAACAGCTGAGGAATGGATAATACTTGAGAATGTATTGTTCTCCTTATTTGTTGGCCAAATGCTCATATTTTCCTATGTGTTTACTCTGCTTTGGCTAGTAGGCTGTAAAGACAGGTAGAAGTCATAGCCCTTCATTCTTGCCAGGCGACCTCACAATGCAACAGGTACTCCAGGACATGGACTGTGAAGCCAAGGCACTCAAGTTCACATCCTGGCTCTGTCCATCACTAGCACCACGGGCAGTTGGACCTCAGTTTCCTCATCTGTAAAATGGCCTGGACAGCAGTACCTGCTTCATAGAATTGTTTTAAGAAATAAGCAAGCATGTGCAAAATGCTAAGTGCTGCATCTGGTGCATGGTCAGCACCACTTAAGTGTTTTGAAGCGAACAGTTTCGATGGATGGAAAGGGAGAGAGATAATCTTTATGAATGTCAAGTGCTACTGCCGCTTGCACTGACAGACACATGCCTGTGAAGCGGAGCTGCCTCGAGAAGGACTCTGGTATTGAACAAGAAGATATATGACGTAACTCACTCATGATGACACCTTTTAAAATCTATGGCACAAAGGCCTTTTAAATTTCCCCCTTATATATAACATCCTCTCTTCAACCTCCTCCTTGTTCTTGAGTTTTATATTTAGGAAGCTGGTAGGCTTGTGAAGGGGCCTGAGCGGGTGCCCCAAGGGAAACTCTGCAATCAGTATAGTTTCCTTTTTAATACAAGGATTCCCCTAACCAGGCACCCACCGTCCCCAGCTCCTGATCCTTCCTCTTTCAGGTAAAGGCTGGCAGTGATTCATAGCTTGTGACACCATCAGCCTATCACCTCTCCCAGAGATGCAGGTTTCCTGACCAGCAGGAGCTAACTGGAGAAGGAAGGACTCATCTGTCTGGACTGTCTGCAAGATTACAGCTGGTAGACAGCAGACAGCCCCTTCTCCTCATCACTAAAACCACCACCTGGCTTCCCTGTAAAAGCTGGAGGTGTGAGTTCATTCCTTTTCCCTGGATACCTCCTTGGTATGCAAGTATATATGAAGAAACTTCTGCTTTTCTCTTGTAAAGAAAGAAAAAAAGAGGGAGGTGCAAAACAAATGTGTTTCATGAACAGAACTGACTGTTCGCGTCCAGGTGGGAGTGGATCTGTGCCCGATCTATAACAGAAACATGTCTGATTTCTCTGTGGTTCAGGGCAGATCCGCGGGCAGGTGGGCCAGTAACAGGAAGCATCATGAGGAAGCCTTTAGACCTATGTCATGGGACAGCCAGAAAACAAATTCCAAAAATGCGGCCTAACAGGGAACCAGGTGGGAAGGCTCCGGAGTCAGAAAGACATGGATGGATGTTTTGGTTCCAGTATTTATTACTGGGGTTTTCCTTGGAGAAATTCCTTGGCCTTGCTGGGCCTTGGTTTCCCCATCTGTATTACTGTATGTCTCTTTCATGGGGTTCCTGAAGGGAAATGCGATAACTTCACGAGCGTGTGGATGACAGGGCCCACACACAGTGGGTCTCTGCTGTCTCTGACCCCATGTGGGAGCAGGGTGTCTGTGTGGGCAGGGGGCTGTTTCACAGGAGAGCACATGAGAGGCTGTCGTGGGGCGCTGTGCTGGACAGTCTTTCACCTCTCCCGAGGATAGGGGGTGCTGTCATACTCAGGGCCACGGCGCAGACCAAGGGCAGGCAGGCCGGGGCCCATCAGTGTAGAGTTTGCACTTCAGAATATTTTCTAAGTGCAACTGCCTTGCAGTGTTGGTTGCTCTATCGTGTCTGACTCTGTGTGATCCCATGGATTTATTATAGCTTGCCAGATGCCTCTGTCGATGCGATTTCCTACCTTCCAAAAATAATATGACAACTTTATTTCAACAAGGTTTTGTCTGTCAAACACATTTCCTTAGGAAGACGACTTTAATATTATCTAAGCATACATGCCAAGTCACTTCAGTCGTGTCTGACTCTTTGGGACCCTATGGACTGTAGCCCACCAGGCTCTTCTGTCCATGGAATTCTCCAGGTGAGAATACTGGAGTGGGTTGCCATGCCCTTCTCCAGGGGATCTTCCAAACCCAGGGATTGAACCCAGGTATCCTGCATTGCAGGCAGATTCTTTACCACTAGTGCCACCTGGGAACCCCCTATATTATATAAAAGTGCTTTATAACTAGAATGCCAACGGTAGGCAAATCAATGAGGACCACTGATAATATTCTGTTCCCAAGGCATTTATAAGTATTTACAGTTCTGATGTACTTTGGTATAAACAATGTCTTTCCACAAAGTCTAAAGAATTTATCCCATCTCTGTCAGAGAAATCGCAGGTTCTGATCTGAACTAATTTTTATTCTTACTGAGTATCTAATTCTCAGCTGAAGAGTATCAGTTTTCTTTGCATACTTTGATGTTCCTTTCTCTAAAGAAAATGTGCTGAAATGTGAGAATTACAGCAAAGTGCTCAAAAAAGGGTGGCTCAGACTTGAAAGGCTCTCTTTTGATGTCTAAAGATAAAAAGTGCCCCCTACCTGGATCACGTGGTCATCGCTTGTGATTTCTATGGCTTCATGACAGTGGTCTAAGGCTGTAAACACTGAATTACAGGCCCTGAAAGTTGCAAAAGATTCATGTTAGTTCTGCGGGAAAACCATGAGCATTTCATCTGTTAACTTATCAAAGTAGACAGTTCCTCAGATTCATTAAAACCAAGTACTTTGATATTCTGTTTTGGAGGAAAAAAAAAAGAAACCTACCCTTTCAAGCGAAATAGACAAACAGCAGGTACTTCTACATACAGCATACAAAGAGAAGAAAGCTATCCGGCCAATTGTCACAGGTCATGCAATGACCTCTGTGTGTGCTGGATGAAACCTTCACACTGACACAAGGAAAGAGACACGCCGAAGCCGGTCTCAGAGGCGCCCGTGCTCCGCGCCAGTGACGTTCTGCTGTTTCATTCACAGCACTGTCACGGAGAAGTCCCGTCCCCATCAGCTGGAAAACCTAATTAAGCCCATATTGGATCTGAGGTAGTCTGGCCTTTTGCAACAGACATAGAAACTTTTTTTTTTTCTTTTCTTACTTTGATGACCTTAGTTAGGAAGCCTTTAGGGTACTTTGCTTTCAACTATACCCACCGTCTGATGAAAGGCAAAGAGGGCAGAATTCCTCTTGCCCAGTTCATTTTACAGGTCTCCAGGTGGGCACTATTCTTGATGACCTTCCTTGCATATCTGGAATATTTAAAATCATTTCAATTTCTCATGTAACATTCTAGCTACCTTACAACCTAGAGCAACTCCAAATACAGTAAGCTCCTTACCATCTAACTCAAGAAGGATATGCCTAGTTTCTAGAGCTTCCTTATTCATGCTGGCTGTTTAAACAAGTCCAGTGAAGGCTTTCTTACACATTATCCCCACAAAAAATGTTAATTTACTAGACGGATGTTTCTTCTCATAAAACAAACTCTTAAAACACTATTCATTTTTTCTCTCATAGAGCATCTAACTGCCATTCTACTTTGAACTGTTTACAAGGCAGAGAGTAGGAAAAAACTGAAACTTGGTTCGGTATTTTGCCAGTTAAGGGACCCTGGGCAATGTTTTCTCTTTGCTGGCTCCCAGTTTCCTCATCTATAAAATGAAGTGAAGTGTTAGTTGACCACTTGAAGTGTTAGTTGTCTGATTCTTTGTGACCCCAGGGACTGTGGCCCACCAGGCTCCTCTGTCCATGGAATTCTCTAGGCAAGAATACTGCAGTAGGTTGCCATGTCCTTCTCCGGGGGATCTTCCCAACCCAGGGATCGAACTTGGGTCTCCTATATTGCCGGCAGATTCTTTTAGTTTTGTTGTAAGAATCAACATAGATAGTTTATGTGAGCTATGTCTCAAAGTACTTGGGACAATGTAAGATTTCAAGACATAGTACTTAATATTATTTGCAAGATCTCAGAATAATTCTTTGTTCTTTAAAGCTTTCAAAGGCTGTTGGTGAGAAGAAAAGTTAATCATAGCCTATATTTTCTCACAAGTGTATCTGAAACATCAAGCCAAGAACTGCTTTCAATAGTAGCAAGGCAACCTTCATGGAAAATGAAAGATTTTAGTCCATTGATGGGTGGTGTTCCTGTCACTGCAGAGATGAAGACGCCAGTGTGGGAGTCTTCAATAAGTACAGTAAGTACTTACAGTAAGTAATCATAATAGAGGTGAGCAGAAGAGAACATAAACCCCACTCCACCAAGATGCCCAATAGGGTAAGGCGTTTTCATATTCAAATTGTTCCAAGCTATGTTTCTCAAAAAACTGGAAACAGAAGTTCTGTGTCAACCATACAACACAGAACTATCATATGACTCAGCAATTCCACTCCTGGGTATACATCCATAAAAAACAAACACACCAATTCAAAAACATACATATGCCCCAATATTTGTAACTGCATTATTCACAATAACCAAGACATGGAAACAACGTAAGTACCCATTGACAGATGAATGGATAAAGATGTGGTGTAGATACACAATGGAATATTACTCAGACACGAGAACAACAAAATTTTGCCATTTGCAGCACAACATGGATGGACTTGGCAGGCGTTATGCTAAGTGAGATAAGTCAGAAAGACAAATACTATGATATCACTTATATGTGGAACCAAAAAAATCAACAAACCAGTGAATACAACAAAAGCAAATTCACAGATATAGAGTACAAACTAGTGGTTACCATTGGGGAGAGGGGAGAAAGAAGTACAAACTATTAGGTATAAAATAAGCTGTAGGGATATACTGTATAATAATATTTTATAATAACTATAAATGGAGCATAATCTTTCAAAATTATGAATCACTATATTGTAACATAAGGGCTTCCCTGGTGGCTCAGCTGGTAAAGAATCCACCTGCAATGCAGAGACCCCAGTTCGATTCCTGGGTCAGGAAGATCCCCTGGAGAAGGGCCAGGTTACCCACTCCAGTATTCTTGCCTGGAGAATCCCCATGGACAAAGGAGCCCAGTGGGCTACAGTCCGTGGGGTCACAAAGAGCTGGACATGACTGAGCGAATAAGCACAGCACATATTGTAACATGTGGTACAGCAGCTATACTTCAATTAAAACAAAAAATAAAGTAAGTGGCTACTACAGCCAACCGAATATGAGCTGCATGCTGTCCTGTTAGCAAGGCAGTGTTTGTAAACACGATCGTGTAAAATATGAAAAAGAATCAAGGACTTTAAAATTGTTATCAAAGTCATTACTGCACCACGTCTTACGATGAAGCAAGCAGAGCTAGTCTCATCGCAAGTGCACTCAGGCCTTTGGGTCCAGCACCCAGCCCAGCACCATAGGAAAGCGAGCCCTGTCTCCAGCAGTCCCACACGGAAAAGATGGTCTGTATGAGCCAGTCCCTCAGCTCTGGGAGCTGGATAATGAAGTGCTAACACGTCTGATCAGATGACATATTCCCCTCGCACCCAAGCATTTTCTTAAAGTAACTGTGAGGCTCAATTAAGTATGTAAACAGCAACTTCCCAGTTTGATTGTTTCTGTCAATTCAGGAGGCTGCTTTCATACGTGATCTTAGCTCCAGCTGCCAAAATGCACCCATCGGATGTTCACTACAAAGCATACACTCCCCGGTGAGTGTCACGCCCAGTGGAACAAAGCAGATCTTTAAAAATATGTTGGCAGGACCAGCAGAACACTGTCCGCGGCGACGAATGGTATGGGACTGCCATGTGTAGATCTAGGCTTTAACTCAATTTGGCTGATGGTTCTGTTTAAATAAGCCTGTAGCAAAATGAAGCAATTACTTTGAATCATGTTTCTGGAGTTTGAGAATTAAATTTCCTGCATTAATTATTAATATTCTTCACATAGAAGAAATTTAGCTTAGTTTTTCTGTTCTTAGGAGCCATATAACACAGCAATGTGAATGTATTTTGTAGTCTTCAGGTTGAGAAGTTGAAAAATTAGAAAAGCTCCAGAGAAACAATATTGTTGTGAAAACCCAAGAAGTTCTGGTAATGTAACCATTTCACCTTCATTTTCTTAGTTGTCCATGAAGGTCCACATGGAGAAGGTGAGTATCACAAAGCTACGATAAACCTAGACAGCATATTAAAAAGCAGAGACACTACTTTGCCTGCAAAGGTCCGTATAGTCAAAGCTATGGTTTTTCCAGCAGTCATGTACGGATGTGAGCGTATGGATGGAACATAACGAAGGCTGAGGGCTGAAGAACTGATGCTTTCAAATTGTGATGTTGGAGAAGACTCTTGAGAGTCCCTTGAACTGCAAGGAGATCAAACAAGTCAGTTCTAAAGGAAATCAACCCTGACTATTCATTGGAAGGACTGATGCTGAAGCTGAAGCTCCAATACTTTGGCCACCTGAGGCAAAGAGCCAACTCATGGGAAAAGACCCTGATGCTGGGAAAGATGGAAGGCAGGAGGAGAAGGGGACGACAGAGGATGAGATGGTTGGATGGCATCACCGATTCAATGGACATGAGTTTGAGCAAGCTCTGGGAGATGGTGAAGGACAGGGACGCCTGCGTGCTGCTGTCCATGGGGTCACAGAGAGTCTGACACGACTGAGCGACTGAACAACAACAGGTAGAAAGTCTACAGGAACACAGTGCTATGACGGCATGCAGAGCGTGTCTGACTTAACACAGGGTGCCTGGACTCTGTTCCAGCACTGCCACCCCCATATCAGGTACTTGCAACCATGCCAAGAGTCTCTCTGGCTCTCAGTGTTTCCTCTGACAACTGTGCTGGGGTGGTTGGGTTACATGATCTCTTGTGTTCCTAACAAAGGGACTCTAGAATCTATTCCAACAAAACATGCACACCCCTCTGAGACACACACACTGAGGCTGTAGAACCTGGGTAGGATGGATTGCGCAAGGTGGGTGCCATGAAGGGCGAAGGTTCTGGACACAAACTCACATGCCAGCAGGAGTGTGGAAGTGGCAGGGAGGGAGTCATGGACGCGCTGCCAGCCAGCACAGCCCCTGGGCAGCGATGCAGCGCAGGCTGGGTACTTTAACCATCACAGCTCGGTTTCTACTCCTGTCACACGGCTGTGACGCAGAGCCCACGTGAGGATAAAGTGCTCTATAAACATCGGTTGGTAATGAGAGGTGTAGTGTTCTACAGAATACCGAGGTTTGCGCATCAGGAGTTGATTCTTTCTAAAATGGAGGACTGCTACTGTCTTAAGACTTGGAGTAAAATAAACTGATCCGGGTGTAAGCCTTAGATGATGGGTATCAGATTGTCTAATGACGAAACAATAGCTCACCCTTCATTAGTGTAAACTCAAGTCCATAGGGTTGGACATGACTAAAGTGACTTAGCACACACATCAGCTTAAACCCCCAATAAATGCCCAAATCCTACCAATATTTTGGTTAACATAGTTCTTTTCATGATAAAGAAGTACACGAACATAAGTGATAAATAAATGGTCATCAGTTCTCCCTTGTCTCCCTAGCCATTTCCCCTTTCATGAATTCTTCTGTTTAATAAAGCGATCCACCACATGTACACAGAAGTATGATTCTGTTCTATCTTTAAAAGTTATTCTCATATAATGGAATTTCTAGATTAGGTATCTTATGTTTGATTACATGATCTTTTTTCTTGGTTGAGTAAGTATAGTCACCATCCACGAAGACTGGACAGAAGTGTCTGCCTTCAACATCCAGTATTATCCATGCAGCACAGCGCGTCCTTGCTGAATGCTAGTAATGTCACATATTTAGCTGCAGCTGGGGGTGGAATTGCAGGGGAAAGTATTATATAATTAGACTATAATTATTCTGGCATTGTATAACACAGAGCCTCATTTCCCCTATCAACAGCAAGTCACAGAGTTGCCTGTCAGCCCCTGGGGTGCAGGTAGATGGTTTAGATGTCCTAAGTACCCTAAGGAGCTGGAGAGACCACGGAGGGTCACTGTCTCTCCCATCCACTAGGCCGAGGGAGAATCAAACCACACACCCCACCGCTACTTCTCCAAAACACAAGAAGGGAGCTGGAGATAGCTGAGGTACAACCAGCTAAACAGCATCAGAAGGACCTGACCACTTAGTCCTTCCTCCTCTGTCTTCTCTTGCAGAGAACTTGCCTCCCTCCCCACTGCAGGGGCTGCTCCCCGGCAGGTTGCTTGTGGCTGGGAAGGGAGGCTTCCTATCAGCTAAGCTGAAGCTGGTGCAGAAGATGAGGGGGTCAGGGTTCTGAGTAAACCCACCTTCCTGGGACCGCAATTGCTGGGCCAGGTCTGTTCACCAGCGTGATGCAGATTTGGACTAAGAACCCAAGGCATTTCACTATGACCTTTACAGTGAGCCCGACTCTGCAAACCAGCTCCAGTCACTGAGGGGTGAGAAGTTATGGGACTTGCACAGGATTAGGTGCTTAGAACCTTGTCAAGTTCTGAATCTGTAAGTCCTTGAGAAGTTCTCAGTCCCCTGGCTCTGAGCAGATTTTATCAGCATGATAACCTAAAGCCCTTTCCTTTTTAGCTCCAGTGCTGCCTGCGGATGTTTATTTCAAATTGCCAGACGTACCTTTGCCCCACTCCCCCGGACGAGGTACCTTCTGACCTCTGACCTGTGCCATCATACTTCATGCTGCCTAGGAAAACTCAAGCAGTCATTTAAAATAAAATGAGGGAATTACTGATCAAAGCAATACAGCGTCTGCTATTCATTTGTGGTAGATCATACACTGTTGAAGAATTAAACCAAAATGAAATCTCTCTTTTCCTAATCCTATTTACTGTGAAAACATCTAAAATAAAAGTACAAAGTCTTTTTCACTCTCCATAAAAACAGAAGAGACCCCCAGGAATGAAAACAATTAAAGTACGATTAAAATCATAAATTGCTGTAGTAAAGGCAATGTGGTTTCCCTAAGAAATTCTATGAAGCTCCCTGAAAATATATGGACACAAAGAAACCAAGGGATTCATCTTCGTTACCAAAGAACTCCCACTGGTTTGAGATTCTCAATTGTTTAAGACTGCAAAAGGGACTGTTTACTCACACACTACTTCTTAGAGCTCTCCAGCCAACCAAACAGTTGCCTTCAGCCTGACCAGAGTGAACCGCAGAAAAGCCTGTCTCTGTGGGTTCATGCCCATCCATTTTTCTTTCGAGGGACAGCAGATGGCCCAGAAAAGTTAAGTTTAGAAAGGGTTTTGTTCTCTTTGAAAGCAAATTCTGTAATTAAGGTAAGAAATAGAACCATTTCAAAGAGATGCTGTCTTATTTATTTTTCACTGAGTCTGAAAGCCCGGCAGGCTACAGTCCATATGGTTGCACAGAGTCGGACATGACTGAAGCAACGTAGCATGCACGCACACCTGAAAGCCAGGTGACCCCTCAGTGTGCTGCAGAGAGAAGCCAGGGCCCTTCTGGCATCCTGCAGCCTGCAGCCCGTTGAGACTGGCCTCTCAGGGGCTGCAAGCTGCCAAGAGCCTCTTCTTTCCCCTGCTCTCTCTGCTCATAGGGACAGGTTGAAGAAATCGGGGTCCTGAGAGTGTGCCAGAGCAGAGCCTGAGCAAAACCAGGCATGGGCTAGAACTCAGCTGTTTCAAGAAGCCCCAGAAGCAGAGCGTCCTACCACGCAGACACCGAGAGAATCCATTTATCTCAGAAGTGAGCACCACAGAACAGCTGAGAGCACCAGACATGCACACAGAGACTTCGAAACGTTCTTGAAGAAACCTCATGCATACTGAGGCCACAAGCAGGTCTCAGGAAACTGCTACCACAAATAGGTCGCAGTTATTGTAGTTAGCATAATAAATATACCCCTGGGTCTGCCCCTAACTATACCAATCCAAGTAGGAATTTATAAATGTTGTGAGTACTAAGTACTAATCCTCAAAGGCTATTCTTAATCTCCATATAATTGTACAGAAGTTTAAACAGTACTTTTCCTAGGGTATAATTTTCAAACTGCAGTAAATAGTGGAAAATACTGTCAAAAGAAGAAATGCTTCCAATTTATTTCATTATACCAAAGGGCTCCCAGTTTAGATTCTCTCTTTTAGCAGCTACCATCACTGTTCAATAGCTTCAGAATCTCTGGGGTTCTGCTGTGACCCTCAGCCTGAGGATAGACAAGCTTGGCTACCGAACGGTTAACCTCATGTTCATCCTATTTTGCTACATACCTTAATTTGAACTGTGAGCGAACTTCCCCATGTTCTATTTGAATCAGTTCATTGTAGCAAGCGATTATGCTGCTGTTCTCCATAAATCTCTGGGGGGAAAAAGCAAAGATAATACATAAGATGCATACAATTACTTCTTAAACAGTTAAAAAAGGCTTGTGTCTCCAACCTCAGGTAACTTTGTTATATAAGACAACTAGTTAAGTAAGAAGAGATGAAATAAAACAGCTGTCAGGATGTTTGAAATGCCTGTTTAAATGTATACAAAACAAGAAAACAGATAATATTGTACAGTTAACTACACCAAAGATGGGGAAAAGTTCATTATGAACATTCACAGGAAAATAAACACACAAGGGTTAGAACACCTCCCCAGCCTTGCTGATTACTGAAGCATCTGGGCTGCTGCTGCCCTAAGGAAGGTCTTCTGAAACCTGAGCCTGGACGCCTTCACCATGTGTGCCTGAGTGATGTCTCCTGGAGGGAAGAGGTGGTCTCTGCTGCTTTCTTCATTTGAGTGCCTCACACTCCTCCCTCTCCCGTGTCTGCTTCTTTCACACGTGCGCGCGCGCGCACACACACACACTTCCGCATATCTAGCGTGGATGGCACTTCCCTGGGGAACACCGGCGAAGCACCCCCCCCCAACTCTCCCTGTGCCTCTGGTCCTACTATCCCAGGAAGAAGCTGGGAAAGGCTAAGAACAGAAGGGGAACCATGAAGACACATGGAGGGAAATACTTTCTACTTGCAAAGCAAAGTCAAACATGGTGAAGTTTTGGTTGAGCTTCTGGGCAGCTGGAGATTGCGTGTCAGTCTGTATCTGAGCTCTGAGCAGTGTCAGATGATGCTTCATAAAGCACAGAAGATGATCATAATAAAATAAGTTCTTGAAAAGGATGAGATAAACAGATACACTTCTTTTTGAAAACATTACTTTTAAAGTGTATAAAATGTATAAAAATATAAAGAAAAAATCTCCAAATCACTGATAATGCCATAAGGCTAGAGATATCATTAATTTTGATTTATTTGCCTTAGACTTTTATTACATCTCTGTGTATGTGGATATATTTTATATGTATATGCCTATACATATAAAATTTAAAATGATGTTATATTTTCAATTTCATAGCTAAGTAGTAATTTTTTATGATTCTTATTTTCCTTTAGGTCTCCTAAGAACTTTCAGTGTGGTCAAGATCAGCCTTCCGGTAGGTGAGTTTCTAAACACTGGACTGCTTTGTTTGCACATAACTGACACTCAGTGAGTGCTTCATAGACTGAAGGCAGTAGGAAAGTCTTTTGGGAATTTTAAGACTATAGTTAATGCAAAAATCTGAAATAAACTGAGTGAACCAAGAACAGTGGTCCTCAAACTTCAACACGCTAAGAATAACGTGGATGTTTGGTTAAAATGCAGATTCCCGGACCCTGCTTCCAGAAATGTAGGCATGTGTCTTTAGCACAGTATTTCTCCACACGCTCAGGTGTGACGCTGCCAACATGCAGTGTACGTTCTCAGGACAGGAGCAGGAGAAGCAGAGCCTTCACTGATTTTTCACACTTACTTGACCGCAGCAGCCTTCTGTCATGGAGAGCTCGTAAGAGCTCTGGACCACTAGCATTCCTTGAAACAGTTTGGGAAATATGACTTTGGTGGACCAGGCGTGGAGCTGGCAGTTAAACACCATAGATTTGCATCTTGACTTGTTTTGAGCATGAGCTCTGTAAGCTAGTCATTTTGAGTCTGTTTCCTCTTCCACAAAAATAGAGAAAATACCAAACCTCTCATCTGTAGATGAGGATCAAGTCAATCACCTAGAATGGAGTCTGACAAATAATAAGTCTTCGTTCCCCACGTCTCCCTCCATAAGACACCTCTGCAGGGACGAAGTGTCTGATCACTGTATCCTTGCCACGCCGAGCACACTGCCTCTCAGAGCCCAGGCTCCCTCAACACCTGCTGAATGAACTAACAATGATGTACCTTGTAATGATTCTACTTGGAATGATGTCATGTAAACATCATTCCAAGTAGAAAAAGTAGTGCACGAAGGTTGATACAAAAACCAGCTGCAATGGCCCTCTGCTAAGATGCTCTTTCTAAAAGGCTCAGAGTAGAGCAAGCACCATGCCGTCGGCCACTTGCTCAGACATAGCTAGCTACACAGGTGTCGAGCAGAGTTGCTGTGGAATACTTGATGGTACGATGTGTTCCACATTTAAGACCCATCAACTGATGCACTGGCCAATTAGCTAGTAACACAGAGCTGAGTTTCAGCAGATGATTTAATACCAGCAAAATAACTCAGAGGTGGGAAGCAACTTCATGGAAAGCAAGAAGAATAGCTGGCATATTTGGAAGGGTGCTTGGGTAGAAAGTTGCCAGAGACAAGATTTTGCCCAAAAAAGGAGACCACGTGGGGAGCAGCCTCAGCCGATTTTGTGCCATAGTAACTCAGGATGGGAAACCTGGCAGGTGTGGTGTGCTTCTCTGGGAAAGAGCCCCAACTACTTGGGGGCACCCTGACCTGGCTGGCAAATGGCCTTGATCAGGCCCAGGACCAAAGAATAGGTGGCCCTTGACAGTTACTGCTTTTCATGCTTTCACAAAGGGCTTCATTCACCTTGGCTGCCTGCAGAAAGTAGTGCTGTATCTAGATAGAGAAACAAAACCTTCCAGAGCAGCAGACAGGTTACAAAAAGGATAAAAAGGAGCAATTGTATCATCCCTCATAAATTTACTCAGCAGCATTTGCACCCAAAGCAGAGAGGTGTGTCTCCTAAGCTTTTCTCTGAGTAGACACACAATCTCAGCCATCCAGACAAGATGCACCACTCCAAACACCATCAGTCTCCACACCACCTGGTTGGAAGCAGGCTCAGTGAACTAAAAGCTGAATTCCAAAATGACACTCAACAGCACACACGGCAACAGGGGTTCATTGCCGCACCCCGCGGGGTGTCGTGTCTTCCCCAACCCGCTCCGGGTAACAGCGAGGACCTCCCTGCTCATATTCTGAGAGGTCCTGCCTCAGACGTGAAGGACAGGGATGGGCTGGGGTGCACAGGTGGTCAACATTCCACAGCAGATTTATGAACACTTCTCAGAAAATGAGTAAGTAAAGACGCTCCCACAACAAGACTTCTCAGATGACTTTCCTTGTGCAACTCTCCATTCTGAAGCTCAGAAGCACCGTCTCATTAAGATGGAGCAGCACACAAGAAGAGCATCCAGAAGCGAGTGCCAGCCTTTGAGGGTGTGACGACGGACAGGAGGCAGGTGTCAGGGGTGAGTGATGGGGCTGAGCAGAACCCATCGATCCTGTCGCTTGCGAATCTCGGCACTCCCTTTGATGTTTTAATAGCACTGTTACTTCCCCACAGAAGCACACTGAAGCCCAAAAGAATGGCATCCCAAGGGCAATTTCTGCTTCTCTGGGATTGACGACAAAGAATTTTTTGAACTAGGAGAGGTTTCTTTGAACCTAGGAGAGCGAAATACCCATTGCTTAAAGCACCCAAAGGAATTCTCATAATTCACAAGGCTCTGGTGGTCTCCTGTTCTTGAAGGAAAAGGATGCATCACACCGTCTGTCTGAGATTCAGATTACCCCGATCACGGGACACTGAGACACCAGGTAAACCTAGTTATCTAGTTTGGTGGTAAGTCTCCTTAATCAATCTTAATCTTCTAGTCGAGCATCAGTGTTATTTATGTAGTTGTCACAGAATTTTTCTTTGCTGTTGTTTTTGGTTTAAAGCAGCAGCTCACAAGCTGCTAAGTCAGCTGTGGATCTACTCTATTTTTTCCAGAGGGTAATCTTTTATTTTTTAATAGAAGAAATAGATGCTTGTTATAAAAAAAAAATTAAGCTGTGTATAAAGTGAGGTCCTCCACAATTTCTCTGTAAGGATCTGTAATACCTTAATCTTCTGAAATATATTCTTTAAGCAGCCATATTCTGATGCTCTTTCTCCACCCTTTTCTTCTCTCTCAAACTGACCCCATCATGTGGCCTTCTATCTGCACGCACATGGCCTCACCTCCAAGCAAACCTTCAGACTGCCCCTACCCTGAGCTACTGGTAAGCCTCTAGAGCTTGTTAAGTTTCCTTGAGTAAGCAGTCTTCATCTTCAAATTGAATATCAGGGTTACTCATGGAGCCATCACTCAGAATTCTTCTTTGCTGACATGTGTGGTTTCAACAAGGAGTTCCCCGGATGATGCTGGAATCAGGGGCCTGTGTCCAGAGTGTAAGCTCTGGCTGGGCCCTGATCGCCATGGAGCGCGGTGTGCCGATCTAGGGGACTACCAATAATCACATACACACATGCTAACTGGTTTAAGTGGGATTACTTTGGGACCACGGAATTCTGACTTGATATAGTAAGACAGATTTTTAGCTATTAAATATCCATTGCTAAGATAAATGAAGTTATGAGAGAAAAAGGGAAAGAGCCTGGCCAGCAGATGCTTGTCACCCACCATGAGAACAGAGTTCCCTCCCAGTCCTGGGGCTGAATGTCTGTGACAAGAGGCACGGCTGCATCTGTGCCAGTTCATCATCCTTTACGTACCCTGTTGAAGCCTGCGTGCAGAAGGGGGAGGACAGAGGCCTCTTCATAGTTGCCGGATCTGCAACAGAGCAGACAATGTGGTCACTCAACAGATACAACCAGGGTTCCTCACACTGAGATGCTGAGAGAGCGAGGAGGAAGCAGGGAGCTGGCTCCAAGAACGGCTTCCTGGCCAGCACACGCCTGCAGCGGGCACCTTCCTTGCAGGAAGCCAGACTCCCACGTCTGCCTTTGGATGCAAAAAGAGCAGAGACAGTAGCGGGAACTCCAGCAGCGGGGGTGAGAACTGCAGCGCAGGCGCACACGAGAGGCGCCCTCAGAGTCGGAGCAAATGCACAGGAGCAGCGTGTCAAGGGAGGGACAAGGTCTGTGCGACGCTCGCCCCGCAGACCACTGTGCCCTTTGACACCCCCGAACATTCTGGAAGCACGACTCCCACCCCTAGACCGAGCTGGGTCCAACTCTCAGGAGGACAACTGGCGTTAGAGGCTGCAGCACCCCAGGGCCGACAGGAGGGGAGAGTCATCAGGAGAGCCAAGTTATAGAGCGAAGAAGAGGAAAACCGCTGACTGGCTCTCATTTCGTGGGACGGCTTCCTCCACTGAGCCTGCCTCCAGGTCTCAGAGCTGCAGCGTGAGGACAAGGTGGGGACGGGGCCAGCGGATCGGGAAGTCGTGCTGAAGCTCTGCTGCTAGCTTTATAAGAGACGGTGTTCCCAAGACAGCCCGCAAGTACCATGGAGCACACGCCGTAGAAATGGGGAAGAAAAATGGGACCCTAGGGATTGGCTGGAGAAGCAGACACCTCTGTCTGCCCAGAAATTCCAGGGCACATCTGCCTCGTCACCTATGGCTGAATCCCACCTAGGGAAAAGCTCTTCTCCCTCCCTCTTCAGGAACTCAAGGTTCTACCCTCTCTGGTCAGTAAATAAGTAGGGGCACAAAAGGGGCTCCAAAGGTATGAATAACGCCCTACTTCATAAGCTGGGTGGCACAAGCAGCATTAATTTTATTACTGTGTGTGCCAAGTCACTTCAGTCGTGTACGACTCTTTGTGACCCCATGGACTGTAGCCCACCAGGCTCGTCTGTCCACAGGACTTCCCAGCCAAGAATACTGTAGTGGGCTGCCATTTCCTCCTCCAGGGGAACCTTCCTGACCCAGGGATTGAGCCCGCATTTCTTACGTCTCCTGCACTGGCAGGTGGGTTCTTTACCACTACCAGCCACCTGGGAAGCATTATTGACATCCTCTATAAATGAAAAATTTAAAAGATAGTGGGGAAAAGTGAAAAATCATAACGAGACACAACAAACCACTACTTGTCAAGGACAAGTACACATTTTTGCTATATGAGTAGGAAAAAAATGAACGTTTTGTTTTGGGACCCGTGGAATCAGCCAGGCTTGGGAAACGCTATGTGGTCTGGTCTCTAAGACCCTGTTAAGGGTTCACAGGGCCCAGAAAATAAAATGTAAGCAAGGAGGCTGAAGAGGGCTAGTCCCCTCGCTCTTTCCCTTGAGATCCTGTCACCACTAGCATGGCAAGGTGCTGAGGGCGGTGGGGCAGTTTCTCTACGTTCCTTGGCTCAGACCCTGTGCTAGGTGTCGGAGTGAAGAGACACAGCTCCTAACAAGACGCTCAAGGAGTCACAGGTCGGGAGAAGTCTTTGGTTAGGGCAAGACCTGGCAGCCAGGATTTCTTACTGTCCCAATCCAGCCCTGGGATGGATATTTTAAATCTCCCCCTGGGTGGGGCCTGTCTGAGGGAGACTGACACTGTGAGCTGCTGGCCTGTTAGCTCCTCCAGGGCAGAATCTGTGCCAACTATCAGAACGGGGCCAAGTCTAGTCAGTCCTGGGGTCAAATTAAGGTCTTCTTATGCTCTCCAAAGCTAGTGATGGCCATTAAGTGACGACGACACATTTTGATCCTGGCAAAGGGTCTCATCACGCAGGCTGTACACGCAGCTTTTCTCCTTCCCGGTCTCTCATTCTAAGTGCGGGCCACATCCTACGCATGGCACAGGGGTTTCTTCTTCCAGTTTCCTACCTGCAGCTCAAGCCCTCCTTTTCCCTTCTAGCACTGGCATTCATCCTTTTGTCCTGCTTCTAGCCACATAACGGTCCTAGCAGAGGCTGCACATTCCTTTTCAGGCAGTGGCTTTGGTGCCAGTTCTCATGGTATAATTCAGTTTTTCTTAAGTGAAAAAACAAGCATTTCTCTATCTCTTTTCTTCAAAGAAAAAAGGTAAGCTGGAACAACATTCTCTTCAGACCTCCTCCTCCCGATATTTTCTACTCATTTCTAGCATACAGTGAATAACCATTCTTTTCCTGAGGTGCTAACAGAAATTAGAGAGGATAAAGAGAAAGGCCCACATATTTCCAGAAACTTGCAAAACAAGGAGAATCCCAAGTAAGATCAAAGATTGCTGGTGTGAGGCCAAAGACCTCCCCCTGGCTCCGCTAGCTCCGAGAACGCGTTACGTCAGAGAAGGTTTCAGGAGGAACAGCAGTGCTCCCAGCGGGGGGCCGGGGGTGAGCTTACGCTTGTGAGACCACGGCGAGGATCACCGCATGCTCCGAGGGGTTCGTGGCCCGGATTGACCTGAAACGAGAAAGCTCCACATCAGACCAGGCGATGTGGCCTTGTTCTGTTGACTGACTGACTGCGGGACTTCTTCATAGGGAAAATGGAAGAAAATCAAATATCCCTCTAAAGAAGGAGTCTGAAAACACATGGAAGACAACAAAGGAAGATGCTCTTGTGGATTAGGACAATCTTTGTTTTACTAAAAACAAAAAAAACCAACCCCCCCCCCCCCCACATCTAAAAGAAATTCCTGGGCAATTCTCCAGTAGGTCAGATCTGCCAATGTTCCACTTCAAAAACTGGCAAATTCCACTTAAATTCCATGTTTTCTGATTGAAATTCCACTCTGCAAGAAAACTGGCAGTCCAACAATTCTCTAGTTATCAGTTTGTACTCCGGGAGCTAATTAAGTTGGACCTGTTTTTCTTTTAAAATAATAGAAAGTTCAGAAAGTTGATCTTAAAAGAAGGATTGCTGGCAGCTGGATACACAGGTGCAGGTGAAGGTCTTTTAAAAATTGTACAAAGAACCACTCCAATTTTTTGGTTGTACTGTTATTTTTGTTCAAAAACTTTAAACAGCTGAGTCATCAACTAGGGCTGAGAAACGATCAGTGCAGTAACTGTCACTATAATGATGTCTGCCATACCATGACCACCTGTCTATCATTTGTTTATTCCCTAGGAATTTAACAGGGTTAAAATACAGAAGAATTTTGAAGTCCAAGGATCTTCCTGGAAACTGTGCTATGCTACAGTTTAGATTCTGGTTTATTCTGGTCAGGGGTCATGAGTCTGATGAATTCTTAATAAAGGGCCACATACTGGAACCTTCACACAAATAAGCATGTTTGTTTCGATCCATCTCCATGGTCTGGCCTCTCTTTATTTCAAGATCCCTCACAAGGGAACCGTCCGCTCTGAGACATGAAGGCTCAAGGCTGCTCCTGAGGAATCTGTGAAACAGCTTATATTTTTTTCTTTCTAGCTCCTGGCACTTCTGCTCTTCATTTTAATGTGTTTGCACCAGTGCTCCCCCAGGAACAGCCAGCTCATACTGCATCACCCTTGTGACTAAATGTCCTCACCTGCCTCTAAAAATGTACCTTCCCATGGTCTGTGCCTTGAGACCTCACTCCATGTGAGGAGAAGGCTCAAGACAATGACCAGCTGCTGTCTTTGGGGAAGTAAAGGTCCCCTTGTGGATAAATGGTATTTGAATGAACTCCTTTGAAGAGAGGCCTGAACTCACTGTGGACAGCAGATTACATCCTGTGCATGCGTGCTATGCTGCTTCAGTCGTGTCCGACTTTGCGACCACATGGACTGTAGCCTGCCAGGCTCCTTTGTCCATGGAATTTTCCTGGCAAGAATACTGGAGGGGGTTGCCATACCCTCCTCCAGGGGATCTTCCCGACCCAGAGATCAAAACCACATCTCTTCCATCTCCTGCATTGGCAGGCAGGTTCTTTACCACTAGTGCCACCTGGGAAGCCCCTATCCCTACCATGGACTGGTCACATGAAACTACACTTATCCCCTACATAGGAGCGGTCTACTGAATTCTCAGCAGAAATACCAGGAGCACCTAATGAAAAAAATGGACAGCATCTCAGAGGTGTGCACTCCTCACTTTCCTTCAGCCTCTTCCATCCCCTCCAGGTATCTGGGGACACTGCTGGGCTGCATTCTAAGGGGGGCTTAGGCAAGAGGAAACAGGTTATGAACAAGACTGAGCTGGAGCTCACACTCACTCAGCTTCTTTTGAGACTGGCTTCTGTGTTTTGGGTCCCTTCCTGCCACTGATCTCTTCTCTCTCATTCCTCCAAAGAAGGAACAGGTGTGGCCAAAGGGACCTGGACCTCTTTCTGCTCGAGAGGACTAAGGGGGATCTGGGGACCAGTGAGGCCGAGGTCCATAGAAGCATGCTAAGGCCCAGTCCAGCCAAACGCCAGGGGTCCTGGACTGCCGCCGCCAACGAATAATGCACATCTGCTGGGAATGCATCTCCTCTCCTTTTAGGCAGGATGTGCTCACAATCCAGCATTCAGGAATCTCTCCATCAACTTGAGCAGTAACTGGAAACGCACCAACAGAGACGTAACCTGGCTTTCGAACTGCACAGACACTTCAATGTTTTTCTGTGCAGCTAAGACAAAAAGTTCACTCAACAGGAAACAAAACCACCTTCCTGTATATTCAAGGAAGATTATAAAGTTTATCTACTAAATTTGGCCTTTGTCTGAATTAAAAGAATTCTTCCTATCTATTTCTTCTTTTTATAGCTGAAGCCAGTCTTACATCATTCTATATATGTACAAAGGATTGTGCTATTTCTACTACAAAATCATGTAACTGTAAGTGGAGATGAGGGAAATGCAGATATATTTAGTTATGAGAGACTCAATTCTAGCTGGACAATCATTTTGCACACACACAACACATACAACATACATATATATCCACACATGTACATATCTATTTCTTAATACTTTCCTGGTGGCTTCCCTGGTAACTCAGACAGTAGAGAATCTGCCTGCAATGCAGGAAACCCAAGTTTGATCCCTGAATCAGGAAGATTCCCTGCAGAAGAGAATGGCAACCCACTCCAGTATTCTTGCCTGGAGGATTCCACGGACTGAGGAGCCTGGCAAGCTAAAGTCCATGGGGTCACAAAGAGTTGGACATGGCTGAATGACTTTTTTCCCTTAATACTAAAATACCCAAATATTTTGTAGTATACTTTATTATATAGTTAAACAGGCAAATGTTTCTATGCAGGAAGATAAGATTATTTTAGACCTGTAAAACATTTTAAGACAGGTTCCTTAAGAAAGTTTCTTCTTTGGGAAACTGAAAATGGTCAAAGAATAGCAAGGTGATGCCTATGAGTAGAAGCTTTTCTTAAATGTACTCATTTCTTGTCAGGGTACCAACAGGTCTAAGAAGCCATCTTCCCTGCCTTTCATTTCACTTGCTAATATTCAAGACAATTCCCATTCTGTCTGTAACTGGAGTCTGTCCTGGTGCAGCCTTTAATTAGTGACCTCTTCCCATTGAGCTTCAAAGCATTCCACTTGTGCCAAATGGACGGGTTCATCCAGAGCTAACTCTGATGACTGCATTTATTTATGAACAGACAAGCACTTCCTCCCCAGAGTGCAAGCACTTCTGCAGACAAGCAAGGGAGATCCTTGGGAGACTCTTCTGCTGCTGAAAAGTGGCTGCCTGTCCTCCCCGACTGCTGCAAAATCCACCCATCTGTTGTCAGGCAGGCAGAAACGGTCTACTTCACACATTTCTGATGTTCATTTTGGGACAGAATAATTAGGATTAAAATATCTGGTTTAAATCCAAACCATATCTGTGTAATAAAAACTGTGTGAATCTCATTTTTTTTTTTAAGTGCAACATGAACAATACTCAAGGGGAAAAAAATGCCCTAAAGTTTTCAGAGGAGCCCAGCTCACACCTTTAAATTCTTCAGAACGCAAATGTGGAAAAATAGAAAAGGCCATAGGAGGAGCTAGAGCTTTCATTGTAGAAATCTATATATACTGCTTTGAAACATCAACACATATTTTAGAGACATTTGGGCTGGAACTAAAGACATGTATGTGTGAATTTCATTTTAAGCTGTTAGGAGGACATTTGCTAATATATTAAATAACTACAGTACCTGCACACTGCTTCTGCATCGAAGTTTCGAGTCTGTCTGTGATCGATTACAATAATCTCATGATGTTTATCTAGAAAGCATTCCAGGGCTGACTCTGGCGTCCGAGCAATATTGCAGCTGTAGCCGGCTCTGTCACAGGCCCACCAGAATCCATCACTCTGACTGTCTTCCTTTGCAAAGATGAGCAAAACCTGAAACACACAGAAAAGAGGATCGTGACAGAAGTCACCACCCTTAGAGACGACTGAAAGCAGGCCGACTCAATACCAGCTGAGGATGCAGCCTCTGGAGAGAAGCCACCTGGATTCGAATCCCAGCTGGTCCCCCAGTTCCTGGGTGTCTCTGAACAAGGCAGAGCATCTCTAGCCTACAGCTTCTCCAGTATCAGATGTGCTACAAACAGTGCCATGGAGGCTAGCTGGGAGGCCTGAGTGAGCACAGAAGACAAGCTCCATCACTGTTGGTGGTTGCCACCCTCTTACAATTTCCTAAGTGGCTCTGTCTTCAAGTGGACTGATCAGTAAAATGGTAACAGGCTCATCAGCACAGGTGAGCCTGTGGTTCACATGGACATGTATTTGCGGTCAGGGCAGCTGGGGTTTGCCTGAGGTACCTAGAGGCCACCTCTCCGAACTGGGCACTTAAATCTTTATCCAGACGCAAAAAGGATGGGAACTCAAAACATTCTCAAAAACTAATTGCAACACCCAGCGCTTGCTGAATCTGGAAAGAACCACCATGAAATGTGAAGCTACTGGAGCTAAGATGAGGAAGCAGGCCTCTTTTTTCTTCACGGGAAAGTGCAGCCCCACTCCCTGGGAAGAACAGCAGTGCTCACCACCACCCACGTGCCCTCATCATTCCCTGGGCTCTGGAACCCAGGTCCCCTGGAGGCCACAATGCCAGAGACGGCCACACTGGCACCTGAGCTTGTTCCTTTGCTTGCGTATGGTCTCTCTTCCCCACTAGAATTGAGTTCAGGGCAGGAAAGACCTGACTGTTTTCTTCCTGCTGTGACCCTCTGCTGGGTAGCATCTGAGTGACAGGATAACTATGCACAGGGTTTCTGCAAAATGCCAGAGGGTTTTTACCATCAACTAGAGTAAGGCTACGTCAAGGCAATAGACCGAATAAGAAGCACATATATTAATAATCTCAAGATATTGATAAGCATTTAGCATTCTTCACCATTCAGTTCTCATTTAAACAATTAGGAGCAGAAGGGAAGTTTCTGGCCCTTTAAGCCCATAGTCAATATCAATCTTCATGATGAAAGCGTGAATGTGTTTCACTTAAAATCAGAAAGAAGACAAATCGGTCAATAATTACCACTACATTTAAAAAAATGCGTCACTAACTGAAAACTGACAATATATAGAATAACGAAAACAATAGTATAGTGACTCTCATGGACCCATCACCCAGCTTCAGCAATAAGCAACTCCTGGCCAATGTGACCTCAATGCTATCCCTACCCACTTTCCAACTCTTGCATTAGTTTGCAGCAAATCCCACATATTTCACCCATATGCATCATTAAAGAAAAAAAAAAACTCTTTTCTAAAAAAAGAAAACCACAATACCATTTTATACCTAAGCTCTCCAATAATCCTTTATCATTAAACATCTGAATGCATCATAAGTGTCAGTTGTTCTATACCGCTTGAATCATTTCCTGTTTTCTCAAATGCCATGTTTCCAGAAGAGAAATCATATTTTTAAGCATGATTTTGACATTTTCTTTTAGCACATGGCTTGAAATCACATGCCAGTAAAACATGAGGCAGCTACCCTTCTTCATGGCTCACTGTGGGCAAGGATCTTTCAGCCCTCAGGCAAGGCTGTCCCCCAGAACCTTCGCTACAGACCTACTCCTGGAAAGAAGCGGGAGGCAGCTCTTCCAAGAGAAGTGAGGGACTTAGTCTTCCGGATCTTGATAGTGAAAAGAAAGCCTTCAAATGGAACTGTTAACAATGGAGCTACAGTGAAAAAAGTCAGGTGGAATAAATTGGTTTGTACAAAAAGTCACCGGCCTTTAACTTGATGTAGCTGTACTAGTACCATGAGAAACTCAATATGCAAAGACTAAACGTCAGAGAGGGTGACAGAACCTCTTGTCCCATCTGTCTGGCTGAATAATGATTGCTAAGCAAGAATCTCAACACTTTATATTTCCTTTATACATTTATGCCTCAATATTTGACTAATGCTTCCCTGGTGGTTCAGAGGTAAAGAATCCACCTGCTATGCAGGAGACATGAGTTTGACCCCTGGGTCAGGAAGATCCCCCTGAGAAGGAAATGGCTACCCACTCCAATATTCTTGCCTGGGAAATCTCATGGACAGAGGAGACTGATGGTCTACAGTCTATGGGGTTGCAAGAGAGTCGAACATGACTTAAGTGACTAAACAACAACATTTGATGAATGCCCTAACTGTATTCCTGTGTTGGCCACTGACACAGGTATTAATCTCCGATGTCTCATGTGTCCTTAAAAGACTGGAGTGCTCCACTTTTGGGAAAATAATGTCATTATTCAAATATTCTTGAGCACCTACTATGTGTAGACGTGATTTTTTATTGCTTAGAGTATGCTAACAAAATTAAGATGACCTCTTGACCTCAAATAACAGGTATAATAAATAAACAAATGATATGGAATGCTGAAAGTGGTAAGTGCTAGGTGAAACAGTAGAGGCTGCTGGGAGCAATATTAAGTAGGGTGCTTAGGGTAAGCCTCACCAAGGAAGTGACATACGAGCAGATGCCCAAAGAAAATGGAAAAGTCAAACTGATCACTAAAGATAAATCCTCCCACAAAGAGGGAACAGATCCATAGGTCCCTTCAGTGGGATGCATGGCTGATGCATTCAAGGAACTGCAAGGAAGCCAGAGTGACTGAGGGGAGGGCAAGAGAGAGAGACAGGAAGTGGAGGTCCCAGCAGAGGGCCCCGTTGTGTAATGCCTTGCAGCCACTTAGGGAAGCTATGCTGGATTTCACATGGAAACTTACAAACCAACTGAACATGTAGGGACTTGTATTAACCACGCCTTAAAATTTTTTTTTATTTATTTGGCTGTGTTGGGTCTTAGTTGCAGCACTCAGGATCTTTAGTGGCCGCATGTGACCTCTTTAGTTGTGGCATGTGGGATCTAGTTCCCTGACCAGGGATCAAACCTGAGCCCCCTGCATTGGGAGTGTATAGTCTTAGCCATGTTAACTTCTGCATTTCTAATGCTTTGATGTCTGGAGCCTTGCTGACACTGGAGAGATACCCCTGAAGGCTAGCCCAGTCTCCGATGCCTAGAGAAAGCCAAGGACTTGCCTAGGAAGACATTTTCCATATGCAAACCAATCCAGAGTCGTGCTCCTACCACCTCTACCACTCGCTAACCCTCTGGACCACTATCCACCTGTCCTAAATCACTCCAGGGCCAGGTACCAGACAACTAGGGACAGTCCTTTTGCCCAACACATCTCACGAGTGATTCAACCAGTCAAACCTGACTACCCTGCCATCCCTGCCTCACCGCTTCACACAGAGAGCATAATCTCAGCTCCTTCCCACACTGTGCCACTCATACTCCCTGCCTCCAACTGACCTCAGTGTTTCCCTCTGGGGTCCTGCACGGCCTGCCCCCTCCTCTCAGGAACTGTGAGGAATAAACTATTTTTTAATGACAGTTGCACCTACTCTGTTGGCTTCACCCTACCTGATTAAAAATTAAAGTCTACATACTAAAACAAGAATATTTATAAAAGTACTCACTAGGAAAATCTCTCTAGGTACCATTCAAAACTCTTTCCATTTATAAAAGATTAATTCAGAAAGACTACTTTTCAATGATTCAACTCCTAAGCAAAGTGAAAATCTATGGCAATTAAAATATACATATATATGTTAAAGTACTATAGCCATGACATTTTTGTTAAGGTCTGCCTATCTGGAAAATTCTATTTTCTCTAGGAAGACGGCATACCCAAGTAACCAAAGTTGTGCTCTCTGCCCCTAACTCCCAGGCCACAACTGGGCTAGTTCTGTTGTTTTTGGGAATTTGAAATTTGAACAGAGAGACACAGAGGCTGAGAATTAGGACCCATGAGCCATTAATATAGAGAGAGTGAAGGAAGAACCTCAAATTCCTTTGTCAAAATACTCAGAAATGGCTCACTGCCACCCTTTCTAAACCACAGCTTTCAACTATTCCTTGGATTCTTGGGGAAAAAAAATACACTAATACATTTCTTATTCATTTACTATTTTGTAAAAGGCAACTGTTACTCCAAACCAAAGAATGTAACCCCTAAAAAACCTTATGTGATATAGTCTCTCTTCAAACTTATCATTTTATGTATGAGTATTTAGTTTCTTGTTAAACATGTCAATGTGTAAATGTTTACTGACCATTGATTGAGGCAAATCCCTTAAAATGATTTTTAAGGAATGATCATTAAATGATTTTTATGATTAAAATGATTTTTAAAAAATAATTAACAAAAGCATATAGCCGAAGTCGGGACTTCCCTGGCGGTCCTCTACCTTCCAATGCAGAGGGCGCAGGTTCAATCCCTGATCAGGGAACTAAGATCCCACATGCCGCACAGTGTGGCCAAAAAATGAAAATAAAAAAAAGCATATTGCTTTTTATTTATAGAGTAAAAGTAAACTCACTCTCACTTGCTCTAAATAGTATGTGGAACATTCCTTTGAAGAATACTTCTGTTGACCTATCACACAAGATATAAGAACTGGGAGTAAGAAGCTGACAGAGACACCCAGAGTCCAGTGTCTGCCCCCAGGACCAAGCAGGGCAGACGTTCAGGCAAGCAGATAAGCACGAGGGATGCCCTACGAACCAGCGACCAAAGAGCGTGAGCAGGGCATCCAGGGCAGGAATCCAGGCACAGCAGAATGGGAAAAGGAAGCAGTTTTGTGACACCAACCTCACTGTGCTACTGCAAACACAGCAAGAGAGCAGAAGACTAAAAGCAGGCCTGTGGGGAAGCCTGGGCCTACAGCAGATCTTGGCCAATGCAGGTTTTGTCCAGGATCGGAACACACACACAGGCAGCGCCCGCTCTGCACGGGAGCGCCAGACCATACGAATGACCATGCGGAGCAACTGAATGATGGTCACAGCTACTGTTCTATGGTGTTCAGAAGTCTCATCAAAACATATAAAAACATT